GCAATTATTCTTAAAAACAGGAACTAAGCAATCTTTTCTCTCTCCCTCTGTCTTCTTTTTAAAAAGATCAGGGAAGAAAGACACAGTCTTTTTCCTCCTGTTGTAGGAAAGGCACTGTTCACCCAGGGAATAGAACACCTGTGGTCATTTACTTCTTCAGCCCCAGGGGAGGTATAAAATGCATGTTTCCCCCATGGCAGGAGAGCTCTAGTGAAAAGGTGATAAAGCACCACTTCCAGTGTGCTAAATATAAAGATCCTGCAGCTGCCCTTCAAGAGTACATACCTGTTGTTAGTGGGTTGCTTAGGTAGGGTGCTCTCAGGCCACTGCAGTATTACTTCAGTTCACATGGGTCTCAGAGGAGGGAAGGAGGAAGTCAGCTGCACAAACCACAGAAGAGCTGAAGGTATTTTAAAAAATTCCAATTTAAACAATGACCTAGGCAAACAGTTATAAGGTCAAACAGGGATACCTGGTGTGTCAGTGTACCTTCAGGGCCAATATGCTTGCTGGGAGTGTGCTTTTTGCACGGCCCTTTTGGAACTTCGCTTCTGAAGCAAGTTATTTTGGCTTTGAAGCACAAGTCCGATTTTTGGCTGTCCGTGTCTGGTTTATTTCTATCATCAATACTGCTTGAATGAGAGTCCTCTATTGACTATTTATAGTTCTAAACAAGGAAAACAAATACTGTCTCTTCAGATGAGGTGCCAATGTCTCTGTAATTCCCGCAGTTGTAGTGCTATGATTGGAATTTGGTGCCAGATGCATGGATTCCTCAGACAAATAGCTTTCTGGCAGGAAAGAGGAAGATCTGGCTCTGGCAAGCCTGTTCATGTAAAAAGTTGCCATATAACTGGCTCTCATTACCTGCATTGGTTTGCTTTGAAGAAGCAGGGAAGGTAGACTGCTACTGGATAAAACAGAGCTGGCAAACACCTTCATACACACACACCCCTAGTTATTTTCATTGTAACCACTAAGTGACTGAGAGGGTAGCTATAGGCAATTTTGTTTAGCACCCCAATGGTAAGTGGAAAGATTAATTTATACTGATTTTTTTCTTCTTGCTGGAGATGGTGCCCTTTGTACTCCTGACAAGGCCCAGAAAGAGGTGGGGGTGAGGTGTATGTGATTATCACTGGATGGGGTTGGCCAAATAAAGTCACAGACTGCTTCCTTGGGCAGAGTTTATGTGGACAGCTGCTAGAAGAAGAAAGGTTGGATTCAGAACCTGGATTCCAGAAATCACTGGTGGAGAAGTCTTCAGGAACAAGGAATGGTCGAAAAATAGTGGACAGGCTAAATCAGGTCATTTAGGAGAGGGTCAAAGTGAAGGCAAAGAAAGGCATGAGCTTTCAGGAGCAGATTGATTCCCCTCCCACCCATGTCTCACCCTCCCCCAGCCTCCAAGCAGCTGAAAAGAATTCTGCATTTTAGTTGATGAGAAATCAGCAAGTGACTTGTTAAATTCTGGGAAAGCTGGTATGGTCTGTTTGCTTGACCTTTTTCTTTCAGGAACTTGGCATAAACATGGGTGTTTTGAAAGTTCACCACTGTCCCCCATCCTGGCAGGAACCAGAGGTCACACTGAACCCTGATTACCATGCCTGAGGACAGGGCATCCCCAGCCCTATGCACTCTTTTGGATCCCTTGGGTCCTTCTCTCACATGGAGAGATTCACAATTTCCACAGTTGTCACAGTTTGTGTTTTCCTACTACTGCACCAACCAGTGCTTCCTTTAGCTGGGGCTCTGAGAGCCTCTCGTCAACATTACTCCTGGTACCTGTTCCTAGCTTACACCACCCTTTGCAGGAAACTAGAAGACCAAGAAAACATGATAGCTTTTATCACCCAGTGCTGTTGCAGGTCGTGTTGAACTATGTGGTTCCAGCCGGTGGAAGTCGTGCGATGCTCAGGGCTCCTTGCAGACAGGGAGGTTTGGCTGGAGAATGCTCCAGCAGGAGTTTCCCTGGGGAGTTATTGGCCTGGCAGTAGCTTGCCTGCCCTGGCATGCCTTGTATCCTGCCTGCTCCTGTCCTGCTTCTCCCAGACTGCATCCCACCCAGCCTTCTTGCTAAGGGTCAGTGGCACTCCTGCCAGGCCACCTATCCCAGGGGTAGCCCCAGCCCTGGACCCCTCCACCCAGGCTCTTTCAGCAAAATGGTGCTCAGGCCCTGCTGTGGAAAGTCCACCTTTCTTCTGTCAGTGTGCCCTGGTCGTGTTTTTTTTTCACCTCCATAATTTTACTAAAATTTCTTACTTTTAAACTCATTTGCCAGTTGCTATTTTCTGTTTTAATAGGCTCCAGCTGGCTGAATCTGAGGGCACAGAGGTGATCAAAGCACTCGCCTGGCACTACAGCATGCTCTCAGTGAAAATGGGGTGGGGGATTCCAGAAGGATATTTGACCAGGCATTACTGAAACTAAAATTTGTCAATTCATAATTTTCACACTCCATGGAGTTTGTTGTTTAAAACTGTATACAGGAAATCTGAGCTGTAATTTTCCCCATCTTTGATCAACATGCCAGTATGCTGCTGTGAAGTGAAATAGCGTAGGCTGAGGGATGAGAATTTTCCCCCAAGGGCATTCTCCTAGGAACACAACAACAGTGCTGATTTAGCAAGGAAATAAATCTCAAAATATATGAATGCTGCTGTGTACATGCTTTTATGGCACTTTATCAAAATAATTTAAAAATACAGAAGCCTTCATTCTACAGTTCTTTGGCGTTTGAACATTCATATGCATCTTGAAATGAGCGACTATATGCTGGAGGATAGAGCTGTGCCTTTATAACAGCTGTAGCTTGGAACATCTCAACGTGACACCTTTGAAGCCCCTTCCTGGTTGAGCTCTCCATAAACAGAGACCTTGATGCAGCAAGGGGAAGATGAAAGCCAGGCAGATACCATGGAAGTCTGGGAGTTCTAAGCCCTGTCTTACTTATTAATAATACTTAAGCATGACAGTCCTTTAGTAGACTGTATCTTCAACAGTTCTCCTACACACAGCCCTCTCCCCCACAGGGAGGCTTTTGAATGCTGTTCTACCCCCAGAAGTGCAAATCACTAACAGGGCTCCGGCTCTTGAATTGACCTAGCAAGTAGTTCTCTCTGAAGGTGAGTTTTTCTTGTTTAGGCACTTGTGGCAGAAGCTTGAGACTATAGCCTTTTAAAGTGACACACCCGATGGGATTACAGCAACTCTGAAGATAAATGAAAACTGAATTTTCTATGAGTTTTCTTGCCAAGTTGTATCAGCTTTGGTAGCAGATATCAGTACAAGTGCCAAACGAAGCTTTGTGATCAATCTTTCCGCTCCTGAGGAAGAAGTGTAAAGGACATGAACTCCAGTTGTTCTCACAAACTGTTCTGTTATTTTCTAGTGTGGGAATTTTCCCACTGCCATCCATTACAATATTCAGACAAAGCATCTTAGGAGAAAGAACAGCACTTCAGCAAACAAGGCCTTTTCTGCAGTATGGCTACATAGCATGTGGTGTTCAAGATTTTCTATTGTTTCTTTTACACTCTTCATAGCACTTGGCAGCTCACATGTATCAGCCATAGTACTTCGTGTAATAAAGTGCACTAGACCTGCAAACATTGAGCAATATATATCACAGCAGTTTTGGATGGTTAAGCAAAACTTTTCTAGCATAGCACTGTTTGAAATGTAGTTGATCATGCTTTGGAAGAAAGCTGCCTGTGAACAAATCAAAGCAATTCTTACATTGTTTTGCATCCTATTTCTTCTCACATATAAACCAAGCGAGGCTTTTGGTTATTTGTAACACTTGGAAGAGGTGATCTGCTCTCAGTTCTCAGAACAGGTAACAGCATTTCATTAAAAACAAACAAACAAACAAAACCAACAAAAGAACCCACACTGCTCGGGGAAGCGTACTGATCTCACCCCTCCTAACTGGAAAAATATATCAGCTTCACTCATGTTCCATGCTGTCCTTTGCCAATACAGAACCAGGTTCCCAGCAGCCTCAGGCACAACCCACACCAGCCAGGCTCTTGCCTGGACTCATACCTCACTGGTGTGTCTGATCTCCTGCACAGCTTTTCAAGATTAAACAGAATATTTTTTGCAGAAGTCAAAGGCTCTGCCCAAATTCCACCAATGCCATATAACCTATCTCAAGCCCCACCTTGATTAGAGTTCTAACTACTGGAATTATTTTTATTAAGGATGTCTCATTACACAGCCTATTTAATTAAAAGGACCTGTAGTTCATGCTTGCCTATTTTAACAGCTTGATCATGTTGCATGCTTTAAATCAGATGCCTGTATTAACATCGATTTATATTGATTTACAATCCATTTCAGCCAGCTGCAATAAGATAATGGATTAGATGTTACTAACATAATTTGATTGTAATCTTGGGATGCAAGGAAGGTTTGCTCAAGCACTGTTGTATGCTGGCACAGGAGCTGGATATGGTCTTCTCTGAACACACTTGCATACCCATTCCTTCCTTGCCAATGATAGGGCACCACCTGGGAAGTGTTCAAGCACCATCTCTTCAATAATGTGAAAGTAAGAGTCATAAATTAGCAAATCTGAGTAACTCCAGTCAAGAAAAGACACCAACACATATGTAATTAAGAACTTCCTAGAAAAGACTGCTGAAACGCCAACTCTCTAGTCTCAAGCTGCATACTTTCCTTTCTCTCTCAGACCACTGGAATATACCCCATGTATTTGGGGCAGTTTACTGTAGGAAAGTTCTTCACAAAATCAATTCTGAAGGCTATGTCACAGTTGGAATATGTCAGCTGTCTTAAAGTTCGCTGCCTGAACAAACTTGGTTATACCAGGCTAATTTTCTTCCCTCCCTGGCACATACCTAAGGAAGCTTCATTACACTCTTAGAACATAACATTCAAGACCGTAAACATGAAAATACTTTATGCTGCGTTTTCAGTTCAGTAACACCTCAGATGTATTTCAGAACAAAATTAGTCTTAGCAATAACACAAAGTAGATTTTTATAGTCCTTTATTAATCTGAATATAAAAAAGACAGAAGCTGCCTACGATATAGGACAAAGCTCTTGCTTCATGAGGAAACAAAATTTTCTTTACAAAGTGAAAAAATAAATACCCTCTTAGAGTAAGGTTTATATGCTAATGTGTCATAAAAAAGTAGAGTTTTAATATTTTGACAAAATGTCTGTGCAAAGAAACAGATGCATAAACACACGTTACTGCTACATTAAGGCAATATGAAAAGTATAGTCAGAAAATTTCAGTAAAGTGACAGTGTAGTTTTCTAGCTTTGATTAAGCCAGTATTGCACCCAAACATGGTCTCCAGTTCCCTCTGTACCCTGGAGAAGACACTAGGAAACCAGAGCCCAAAATGCCCAAGTAGGGGGGTGGAAATTAAAAACATTTTAGCAGAAAATGACCTATCCCATAAAGATGCTAACTGAAGAAAGCATTTAAAATTATACACAACCCTTATTTTAAAAATTAATGGTACATAGTTTAAAATCAGTCTCCAAAAATAAAGCCAACTTGAAGGGCAGCTGACTGAAGCTCCTGAGACCACCAGCTAAACTGGATGTGGGAAACCTGGGAGTACCCTGCTCACTGAGAGCTGTGAATGAAGTCCCACAACAGTGCTTCCACGTGATGCTGCCAACCACAAAACTTTCCTGATCCACCCTCAAGACTTGCAGATTAACAAACTTGCCCCACCTTTCCAAAGCTATTTTCTCAGAATTGTTTTCTATTTAATAGAATTCTGAGTTAAACACAGCTACTTGATGAAGCCCTATAACTTCAGTTTAAGAACTGACTTTTTAAAAAAGTTCTCTCCTCTTTAAAGCAGTTTACTAAAAGCTGAAGCTATGAGCCATACTAAACTGGTATTTGTAAAAGCTAGTCTTACTATCAAAACAAACGGTGTGACTAAAAGGATTTAGAGCATGTAAAAGAAAAGGCTGCATTGCTTTCACTGGGTACATCTGTATGTGTACACCACATTTCTCCAGGGTTACCTATCTTTGTGGCAACACTGCCGTGCTACAAACTTATGCATCATTCTCCTTTTAAGTAAGGTGAATCAATTATACTTCTGCTCTCAGAAGATGTCCCAAAGCATTTTGGACATGCTGAACGAAGAATGTTTATGTTAAAAAATGTAGTATTTTTGCTTTTGATCATGGATAGGTGCCAGTGATTGCCTTCTTCACAATCAATGGTTGCATTTCGTATTAGTGCAGTTTAAAGAGTACATGATGGGTTTAAAGTGTATACGTAGATCATATCACAGTCAGATTGAGAAGACTGGTGTGGGTTGGCAAGTACACATGCTGGACATGCTCTACATGGGATCTGCAAACAGGACATGACTGGAAAGGAAGAACATTAGGAAGTTAGTTTACTTCATATTTTGAGTCTCTGCACTTACTGGTGACTTCCCTCCATGTACACAATAACAGTACTTTCCACCATCCCATATTTAAGACTGGGTATTGTGAGAAGCATGCAGCTCATTCTTAGCCTCACTGCAAATTATGTTAGCACATCATCCACACATAATGTTCTTTGAAACCAACTTATCACAAACTAAATTTTAAAAATAAGTTTTACTAGAACATCAACATGAACATATTAATCCACGGTCATTAAATATACAAAACCCCAAACCTTCCACATAACTTGGTAACTCATAACTTAATGACATTGCATTTACCTGTAACTGGGAAGCACAGGACTTGCAGCAAACTGTGTGGCCACAGGGACAAAAGGTTGAATTGATCTCCTCTTCACAACATACCATACAAAGCATGGACTCCTTCAGCTTCCGCAGCTTCTCTTGCAGGGCTTTTGTTTGTTGGCAGCTGAGACCCTCACAGTTGTCACAGTTCATGCTGCTTTCTGAAGACTTAAGGGGGGAACTTGGTGGGGTTTGGTCACTTCTTGAAACAAGATCCACAATGCCAGCATTATAAAGAGCTCGCCTTGCATGATCATAAACTTCTTTTGATGTTCTTTTAATGTCAAAGACGTACTTTTTACCAAGATTAATGTTTTCATTCAGAAACAGAGATGCTAGGTGACCCTTTAAGTCTCGACTATACTGCATCATGACAGCACTGGTGACAGTGTCACACCTATAAAGCAATGAGACAAATCCAAAATTGATTAGTTAATACCAATAAAGCTATCCATACAGTAATTTTTACCAAAGTTGAAGTAACAGCACTGAAATTAAAGCAAATAGAACAGTCAGAGGTAACATTTAAGCTCTTGAATGCTGTTTTTGCATGACAACTCTACTTTGAAAAGTGCAAAATGAAAATGTGGGAGATACTTCACAACTTCAAGATGTGAAATGTCTGGTAAAATGAGTCAAGTCCATGGAAGGAACTTAAGGTATTATGCTAACGTAAACAGCAAAACACTTAACCCACAGTTCAGCTTAGCAATGCCTCTTTCCATGGCAATTTTCAAACGCTGCCTTAAAGAATTCCAATTAAGAGTCTTTGGCATAACATCTTTCTTTAGAGAGGCTCTCATGGAGTCAAGTAATATTTTTAACCAAATTTCCACCCAGTAGTTTACATACTAGTATTATATTATTCTGAAGAGAACCAGTGTGAATGCACTGTAGAGAATTAAATTAAGGCATATGTATTTGCCACTGAGTATTTTCAGCTACTCTAACCATGCCTGTCACATACTTCAGTTATACAGTTGAATCTGCAGAAGCCTATTAAGGCATATCAGTTCTCTAGGCAACACAGGAAAGAAAACAAACAGAACAGAAGGACTACAGCCTCACAGGGCCTAAGGTCCAAGATCTAAGCTTATGGCCAAGTGCTATTGCCAAACTAAAACTCTGCTTAAATTAAAATCAGAAACTGAAGGACAGCAGAAGTTAAAGCAGAGACACAGATCAAGAAGTAGTTGAAACTGATATGTGGTAGTTAATTTTAAGAAAACACTGCTAAGTGTCTTTGACAGCCAGTTCTACTGATCAGTGTTGGACATCACAGTAAGAATGAAAGGGGGTTTTAAAAATCAGCATTAACAAATGAATATAGCACCTCTGCCTCAAAGAACAATAGGATACAGCTGTCATGAAACAAAATCCTGGGCATGTGAGCAAGGACAGAGGAACTGTAAGAAGATTTAAATACATGGGATGGGAAGGTGGCATACAGATAACATAACTGGAGGAGCCAAATAAAGGATCTACATATTCTAAATAAAAGGATCTTCTCCATTGCTCTCATTCTCCCTCTTACATAGGGACAAAACACTGTATGTACTGTTTATGAAGTATCAAGGAACATAAAAAGTTTATAAAAAAAGTTTATAAAAAAGTGCTGTTATTCATAGTGGAAAAATTTTGCTTACTTTTCTTGCTTACTTTCCCAGAAAACAGAAAAACCTGTTCAGCTTCTGGACTTAAGAGGAAAGACAATGAAATTTTGCAGAGTATTTCCAAAGTGCAGTCAGACCACTGGCTCTTTAAGCACTTAGTTCCAACACTGGAGAAGAGCAGTAGCCACAGATGACTCTAGTGGCAATACTGACCTGTAAAATGCATGTGTCTCTGTAATTGCTCTGTAGAGCCCACTTGCTGCTCTTGTACTGATCATCTTAAACAAGAGAACTACACTATTACCAGACTCCTTGGTAACAGTCAGATATACATTCTTCCCAGACTGAGTTGCCATTTGAACAACAGGATAAGCAATCCTATAAATTAATATTAAAAAAAAAAAAGGTTATTTAGCTGGTAAGGATAAGGGCATATTCCACAAACTACTACATTGCACTTTTATCAGAAGTTACAATGATTTCTATTGTCAGTAATGCTGGATTGTAGATGCTGCCTCAAAAATACACAAAAATCAAGAGTATTAAGGCCACTTGTTATCTTGATTATAAGCAGGTAGTGTCCTCAGACCCTACATCCCAATAGCCACTTTTAGTAATTCAGAGCAGTTGTGTATTTCTGTAAAACTATAGGCATGCTCAGTACTTCTGCAAAACTGATCATGCAACTGGTTCCACAAAACACATACCTGTTGATTGGACTTAAGTCATCTTTACAGATGGATATGCCTTCAGGTCCAACACCAATAAGCAGTTTTTGCCCTTCACTATCTCTCACTGAGTGCCATTCGACCCCATAGTTCTCCAGTGTTGTAACAATCTGTAGAATCTGGTATTCAGCAGATGCTTGACTTAGACCTTCTAGCTCTTTGTGCTTTGCAATAATGCTGTTGATAAAAAGATTAAGAAGAGGTGATATAACTCAAATATGTGCTGTTACTGTCAGCAGTTTGCTTTAACATGGGTTTTTAGATGACCTAGTTGAACAGATTATTAAATGCTCCTGACCTGCTTTAGCTGCCTATAGATTTCCAGTAATTGTGAACTGGAAATAGTTGAGAATTACCAAAACATCCTGAGAATGCCTTAGAAATGGAAGAGCTACATGTAATCAAGGCTTTCCAATGAACACCACAACCCCCAACATATTTCCCCAAACCACCACTAAGTTCATAACTAAAAAAAACTACACACAAGTAGGACACAAAGTTTCCTGATAGTCAGGAATTGAGCTGTGGAAGGTACCAGAGAATTTTGTTCACATCTCAGAGTAACAGGTACTGAGCCAGATAAATTCTTGCTACTTTCATTTACCAGTGTAGGTCTAAGACATATTTACAATTTATTCACCCTGCTCCAGGTGCTTAGATACCTGTGTTTCCCCAAGTACTAGAGTTTGGGCAGCTTTTCCTTTTCACAAAAGAAGAAAAAACCCCTTGTAATTGAGCTTAAAAATTAATTGAAATCAGAACATCAAATTCAGGTTATATTTTGATCTCCAAAACTATCTAAATTGTTTTACACTATAGCACCAGTAATTAAGGGCATAAAATCTTCTGCTGTTGATCTCCAAAAAGGAGTCTGTATCATTGTGCTCTTTTTACCTCTCCAAAATGGTAGTGGTGAGCTCTTTTGCACACAACTCTTCATAATTGTACTTGGCAGTGTTCTGGTTATAATCTCCAAACTTCATCTGTGCCAACAAAGCACTAAGTTCAATTGCATGCTCTGAAGAACACTGAAGATTACCAGAGAGAAGATCTTCTTTTATATGCAAGAAAAACATATGCCTGCAATGGAATCAGAAACATTTGCTTACACAAACTGTTAGATGATGTTTGTAATCAAGACATATCAAATAACATATTAGATATATTTGGGAATCTTTAGTTTGGTAATCAAGAATTTGTGATGATTGTACCAAATAGAGGAAGTCTGGCACAAGTGAAAGAAAAAGGTCTCCATCTTATTATTCACTTACCCTTAAACACAAGGCTACAACTGAAGATGGTATTTATCTAAAAGTACTACTAAAAGAAATGAGCATTTTAATCATGTTCTTAAGAATGAGGACTGCTTTAACTCCTAATGCCACTTAGTCATTTCAATTTAGTGAACAAAATATCAATGAAATATTTGCATTAGTTTCCTATGTTTAAATTTTTGGTTGCCATTTACAAGTTATCCTGCAGTTCACAAAAGCAAATTTGGGAAGAACAGCTCAAACAGCATACACACTTCTGTCATGCAACAGGAGAAGCCATACTTTCTCTACACAGTGGAAATGCCTTTGCCACTACATTTAAGGGAAGAAGAGACATGATTAACAGAACAACTTGAGACACCTGAAAAGGCATTGTGGAACAAAATACAAAAACATCTTCTGTGTAAGAATTTGTCACACCAACCTTTACACCTGGGGCCAAGGCAACAATTTGCTGAGAATTCACAATGTTGCTCTTAACTGTCTAATAAGTCAGTTAACAGACAAATGAACACTTCCACCAACATTAACAGCAGAATGTTAGTTTCCCCTATAGGCTACTTTAACTTCTACAGAATCACCCTTTTCTCCCCTCAGGGGACAAAATATAAATGTCTTACCATTTGTTCTTAAGACTCCACATATTTATGGAAACCAGATGCAGAATTACATATCACAGTTACGAATCACTAAAAAACTATTTCTATAAATGAAGCCTAGCACCCACAGTGATGTGTCTTGGCTTACCAGAATGGGACATTTACTTCTCTAAAATTAATTGTGATCTACTTTTAAGAAAAGCTGTACTGAGTCACTCATCACTGATGCTGAAGATGCTAGTAAATGATTAGCTTTCCTTCCAAGGGGAATTGGATGATATCTTACATATATTCTGTTGTAGCATTCTAAAATTCTTTTGTACAACAGGGCAAATAGGACTTTTTTCATTACTGTGAGCAATTACAGAACTTGTAAAATTCATGTTCGTTCTTAGCTCTACCATGGTAAATGTTGCAACCAAGAAGATAGCAGCCCAAAAGATGCCCCATTATCCCCTAAGTTGCCCTACAATCCATTTCCTGCAACAAGTCACAGCTCCAACACCTCCCTTTGCAAGCTATTTGAGGCATGCTAGAGTATCACTGCAGTTGTGACACAAGTGCTTAATTGCATTGCTCTGATGTCTAGACATCAAGGGTTCTTGATCTTGTCTAGACATCAAGGGTTCTTCAGCAGTGCTGGGGAGGTCTGGTGCAAGCCAATATCCTCACGCTGTGCAGGATACAAGTTTAGGTGGCAAGAGGACCAGAACTTCAGGCAGTAGTGCTGTCTCCACTGTTAGCAGGTTATTCCTTGTTAGGGCTCTTTTTTCCAAGCAAACCTCAAACTTCTGCTCCAATCCCTTTCTCCTACCTTGCTGATTCATAGCTCTTTCAGCCTGGGCTGCAGAAACACATATCTGTGCCCTTGTAAAATACTTGGGTTGTACAGACTCCTTTTGGGGCTTAGTCCACACACCCAAAGTATTTGATAAATTACTAAAACACTATGGCCAAAATAAATTCAAATAGTAGGCATTTCCCTGACTCCAATCAAAGTTGCAGTACTTCATAAAATAAACAGCTTCTCATGCACTCAATCCTCTGACAATATCAAGATAGGATTTTCAGTTGTTTCAACTAAGTACTAATTACAAATATAGTATTTTAAAGAAAGATCTGACAATTTTATTGTCATTAGCTGAAACACAGTTACAACTACCACACCTAAATGCTTGTATCTTCAGGGTTTTTTATGCATATGACAGCACTGCCTACACAGGGGAAAATCAAGAGTTCTTCCCTTGCTGGGAAGACCTTAATGACATCACAGGAGAAGATGAAAAACAAAATATTGCTCCTGCAAATACAGATGCATTACAGAAACAGCTACAGCAGATGCATGGCTTGTCACATTCCATTACTAAAAAGCCAGCAATGGCATAGGAAGACAAATGAGTTTAAGGCAAATGTGAAATAGCATCACATTAGCTAATGTGTGGTAACTTCACGTAACTGGCTTATATCACACAAGGGAAAACATCGCACAGAGACTCAGCTACTTTGTATTTTTCTGATAAATGAAACAAAGTTGCAGCACATATAAACAACAGTTATTGTGAAGTAACTAAAGCTGTGCAAATTCATGTCCCAGTTTACACTATGATAAGTTATTTTATTACGTCAGAGAAAACAGACAAAACCACCTGTATTTAACAGTCCATCTCACAAAGTCATTGGTCTGCACCTAAATAACCTAAACTGCACCCATAACAAGTCAGTGAAAGACGTCATACTGATCTGCAACAGCAGCTGCCCTGAAGTTCAGGCAGCAAATTTGCTGCTTTTTTTTTTTTTTTTCATTTTAAGTCCTTAAGTGTGTTTGATGAAGGAAAGACATCTAGAAATTGCAGGACAGCAAGGGTTGCACACATTTTATGCATCTGAAAAAGTGATTTGATTAGCCCATCCAACCATACTCAGATTGCACTGCTCCAAAGTAATATTAATGTCCCTTGTAAAATCACCCCCCATTCAAAGGTTCAAAACATGACACTAACCAGAATATGATTATAAAAGCAGATTGCCTTTTCCTTTTTACACAAAAGTGAACAGTGTTTTTTGATCCTTAAAGGCATAAGAATGTGGTTTTATTGTTAAATATAGTGAAGCAAAACTAAAGCATTAGAAGCCTTGAGGCAGTTCCCTATCTAATTCTGCAAATTCTAAAGGACCCAACAGGTTGTCTGTAGAAAACCTGGTTGTATTACAGATTCTATTAGTTACACAGAAAGTATCTATGTAAGTTTTTGTAGATTAGATTGTGACCTAATCTACCATCCCTCCTCTCTCCTGGAATCTCTAGGTACAATAAAAAAAATTGTTAAAGCTTCTCCGTTGTGCAGTAAGAGGATATTTATTTTTTCAAGGAATTATTTCAGCACTAATATTTTATACTTAGTGGAATTTTTATCTAGCAAGCTTTAGAACAATGAACTGTGAAAATTGAACTGTTTTTAAGTTCTCTAAGGTTACATTTGCAACATTGCTGGTAAAATGCCTTAGTTTGTCCACCATATAAGAAAATAAACATTTTTGTTTGTTTCTGCATCATTCACCACTTCAGTTACACGATACATTAATATTACCTGTTATAAATTTGAGAAGTAACTCAAGTCACACAAGTGGTATGTGTCCTACCTCACCCCCCAAGCTCCAACATTCTCTTAGCACATTCTGCAGCTTCTTACTACTCTTGCCAAAGCTTCATTCAATCTTTATATCTTTCACAACTCTGAACTTTGCCCATCAATTGTTGTGGCTCCTAGTCATCCTAACACCTGCCAGGCATATTGGGACATTGAACAACTAGTGGCAGCTTTAAGGACAAACAGAACTTTCCATTGCATTTGCAGCCCAAGTTCTCTACATGTGACAGCATTAGTACAAAAGACAGTCTTTATCACTTCAAATAGTCTTACCTTCCCCTCTAAACTTCATGGTACCTAGATGTACCTGTGTATTCGACTTAGCTGTCAGTGGAAAAAGTGACAAACCCCAATCCTTTACCAAAAGAAGTATCTGCATATGACTAACGATTCCTAAACTAGAAGCATAACCAAAAGACCTCATTCTCTTCCTAGACTACTGGCAAGAATCTTAACATATATCCCAAGGAACTGCCTGTTCTCTTCAGGGTATGACACTACTTACCACAGGTTAAGGGTCTTTTCTACTGTGAAGTAAATTTACAACTCTGTTATCTATAGGAATCAAAATTAAGAAGCATAATTGTTCTCCCTAAAAATATATTGATAAAGATCTCAAAATCTATAGAATATAATTCTGTTTTTAAAAGCAGATGTAAGGCCACCCCACGTGAGAAAGCAAAGTGTACAATTATGCTCCTCAGTATCTTTGTTCTTATTTGCTCTCAGCAGAGTGGGTGAAAGGTTACCAACTGCAATTCAACTTTGATTTAAACAAACAGATCCATTAAATTCACCCTGTCTATTACAACAGACTTTTAATGCATTGGAACAAATATGTCACTGCTGCTCTGGCTAGCCAATGCTATAGGATAATAGAATGTTTTTCCTCGTTTTCTACCTACTGTATGTATCTGACCGCTCAACATATTTTACAAGCCAGTTCTTGATTTCAACTACTTCATCAATACAACTAGATAACACTGCAAAATACTTTGTAAATATAATTCAAATACTGCCAAACATCACACACCCTTTAACAGTCTTCAAAACAACAATTACCACCTTCAAGGCTGGCAAACTACAGCTCTTTTGAATGCTTTGTAATACTACGTGGCTTGCTTGAATTTGATATGTTACTTTAAATTGTCGTGGCTTACATATGAATATTTGATTTTCAGTCATACTACACAAGACAAATAACTTTGCCCATTTTGATGTACATCTGGGTAAACTTTACAGTGCTCGAAAAAATCATTCACTTGAAAAATTTTCTTTTTTGCAATCGCCACGAGGTTGACTTTATCCTGCCAGACTGAGAACAACCCGTCCTTCCGGACGGGTGCTGTGCACAATTCGCCTCTTGCACGGCCTAGGGAAACACTCCCACTGTTAAAAGGTGGATGCAAATTTCAAGACTCCTCTGATCCTCTTTGCACAAAATGCTCGTGGCCGGAGCCGCAGAGCTTTCTGCCCTGCGACAGCAGTGCGAAGCCCAGGCCGGCGCCACCGGTTCGCCCGACTCCGGAGCTGCCGCGGGCCGGGGCTACTCCCAGTCACTGACCCGGAGCTGCAACCCCAGGAGCGCTGCGGCACCCCCGGGAGTGCCCCGCAACCGGCGCGGCAGGGCCGGCACTGCTGCCAAGCATCTCACCCACCCTCAGTCAAAAAGTCTCCTGAAAATTCCGATTAGTGAAGTATAATCCTTTCTCTAAGCCCCAACTCCTTACGGCAATTCAACACTTCATAACAGTTGATACGTGAACCACCCACAAATCATTCAGTAAAAGAAGTGAAAAGCAGGAGGTTTTTTTCTAGCTGTTGCACGACCTATCAAAAAAAAACCAGAAAATGGTGAAAAAAACCAAAACGTGACACAAGCCAGAGCTTATGATCTCAATCGTGGACTATCACATGTATCTTTAAGCAAAGAGCAGTCCTTTTCAAGCCAATGTGATTTTCCATTCAAAGGAAAATTCATAGATATTCAAACTTCTCTATAGCAGCACACTGTTCACATTTCAGACTTGTTTGTAAAACTCTGACAGCAGCAGATTAAATTTGAGTGACATTCTTGCAGCACTTTCATTCCATTGAAAACAATTCTCAGCTATGAAATCACGTGGTGAAATTCAGTACCAGGCAGTCAAATAAAAAATTAGATATTGTGATCCAAAGAATAGAAATAAACTGCTTTTAGCCCTGTAGAAGGAAAAAAAGTGTAGTAAGAAAGTTTTTCCATGCAATTCCCCAATTCCCAAAGTGATAAGTAAAGGTCGTTTGTTGCCATAGTGGTCAGAGGTACAATTATAACCCGCTCTGCCTTTGAGACAAGACTGCTTCCTTGCATAAGAAGATTAAAATGCATGAGGCTATGATCTTCCACTGGCTGACTAAAGATAACAGAAGCAGAGGTTGATGTTCAGTTGCCAGATCAGCTTTCACAGCATGTAGAAACCTGAATATTAAATTGGTACAAACAAACATACACCTGAGTTTTAAATCGAAGTGCACAGCAAGAATCTCTAATGAAGCAGTGCAACTGGGACTGGCAAAGCTTCCAAAGTATATAGAAAAGACCTTGTAACAACTCAGTCACAACACTTGCTATTATAATCATGATGAGGCATATCAACAAAATTTAGAATTACTTGCAGCTTCCCAGATTTCAAAAGCAGTCTCAACACGCATCTAATTTATGTGTAAAAACCGCATCAGAGGCAGCAAGCAAAAGACTGGAAGACTTCCCCAACTGTTCTTCACACACAGGACCGGAAGGCAACAGCTCTCCCAGAAACCACCCTTACATCAGATGTGGACACAACTGCTAAAGGAAACCAAGGATACTCATCACTTTCTTCCTCAGCCAGCCCACTGACTTTGTAGGTAAAGGAAAGAAACAAGGTGTCAGCAGTAACTGTGCAGCTAATCCTTACAATTCTATGTTTATTGATTTTTAAGTTCTGCAACAGGTTTAACAAGTTTTGCATCTTCTCCTTGATACCAAACATGCTTACACACAAACTAAGTATGAATTCAGTTACATGTGTATGTAAATCCTCAAGCAGATCTGAGTAGAAAAAGAGTAAATCGACTGAAACTCAGTATCAACAATACAGGAATAGACATTAACCACAGGTACTGGAATTCTAGGTCTGCTACTTGTAGACTACTGGGCATACACAATTAAAAGGCAATTATTGCAAGTTGATGTACAACTTGTATTTTTTTATAATATAGGTCTTTTGATGACTGAGACTCAATTTTAAAATTTGTTGTTAAAAGTATTAGTTTCAGAACAGTCATAATTAATACATAAAAGAAAGCTTGTCCCACCTACATCTTTTCAAAGTCATCTTTACAGTCGAGAAATACCTGCTACTTTGATATAGGTATATAAACTCTGTTACATTTTAGCTCCACAACCCAGTCTTTGAGGCCCTTGGGGCATGTTTCATCAGTTCAAGCTCTCTATTAACTTGCACCACCTGCCAAGTCTCGCATTGACAGTGTTGAAGGCAGGAACACAGATGTCTGTAAAAACCTCGTAAAGCTGAGCAAGCATTCATCAATGATAGCATAAACCCCCCAGTTTTGGGTTTCCTCAGATTTTCACCCTGATTCGTTCTGAGTGGAGGCACATCTGACATGCTCAGGGTAACCTCTTCCACCTCATCAGGTATGAAGTTGTGTGGCTCCTTTTGTTCTACATAAAAACCCTTTGTTATTTGGATTTATACGTACTGAGAATATTTAAATAGGAGGACAAGTTTCTTTAAGGAAAAATACTCAAAAAGAGCCCAAAGATATGCCATGGATAGTAGAATTTATTTTTTCAAAATAAGGTACATTAAAACTGGAATTTAGCCTGACTTCATTTGCCTAACTGAAGCTATTATACAGGACAACGATGGTCTAACAGCATAGCATTCTGAAAATTTCAAGCAGATTGATGACCTGAAACCACTGCTCCCCCAAAGCCTCTACCCTGCACATTAGATCAAAAAATAAAGCAATACATGCATGTTTCTAACTCAAAACCTTTTTCCTACGAAATAAACACCAAATAAGACTGTCAGCATCTGACCAAACTCCTTAGACAAACATTCTGTGCAGAACCACCATGTTGTTTTCATGGTCTTAATTCTGAAAGTATTAAGTTTAGGATTCTGAAAGAACTAAGTTAAGGTGAGTAGTGAAAAAATGTGTTTGGCACTATCATACACACACTAGATTTCAATTGGCCCAATTTACACTAACTGTACTACCGAAAGCTAACTAGAAAAATTATTTGTACTAAATACATATATGCACAGCTTTCTTTAAAGCTAATTCAACTGTAATTCATGTGGTAATCAAACTCAAGGAGTAAAAGCGAGTATTCACTACCAATCTTAGAAAACTAATTTACTAACAGTATAACAATTTAGTTAAGAGGACTGGCCACAGCAGAAGTGAAACAGCTGTTTCTTTTGTAGCCTCTAAGGGCCTGTAGCTATTTGAAAGTTACTGTAACATAATACCAGAGAAAAAGGAATTCAGCAAGTTTTTTGCTCTCTGGGAGGAATTGTTTCCTGCCTTTCTGTACCAGCAGTTCAGAATGACCTAGAGTAACACCACAGAACAGGGGTTACTATCGGACACACAAATACCATATAAAAAGTCTGCTACTGGTAGCTTAGTTTCTTCCACTTCCAGCACTGAATGCTCACAAAATTACCCACAGTCATTACTTACTGGTAGCTACACAATACTTAGCATTATAAGTTTAATTATTTAAAAAACAAAACAAAACACAACACAAAGATTTTAAAACTACACAGAAAAGTCAAGCAAAATTACTAGAAGATAAAAACCATAAAACCACTGTGCAATCACTTTCATAAGTTACAGAAATCGAAAACAAAGTGTTACATTAAATCTACTTACAACCATATTTACCTTACCTTGTCTGTTCCTGTAAAATAAGATGTGGCTCAACAAAAAACTTGACTCTCAATTTCAATCGATAAGGGGCTAAACCATCCATCTGCTGGGAGATCCTGTTCCTCAGATTCAGCCATAGATTCTCCCCTTTGCTGCCAGTGAACTGCAGTCCAAAATAATCAACTTCTATAATCCCCAACCTTCTGCAAACCTGAAAGAACGAGCTTCTTTATAATAAGGCTACAACATAACGATGAAAAATAACACCCGAAGTGCTGTTTCAGACTGCTCACTTAAAACACACACACACACAAAAATCCTGCTGTCAGCACGTTCATACAAAGGATTACTTAATTACTGGATTTTAGGTTGCATACAAAACATCACGGAGAGAAACACTAAGCATAAACTAGGAATTTCATGGTCAAATTTCACCCCAAGGACAGGCACTTCAGAGGACCAGCAGATTTCCAAAAGAGGAGAGTATCGGCTGTTCAACCTCTCAGCCAGTAGCACTTTCTGGGCACGAAGGAGTGAAAAAGTACAGCCACCAACAAGTTTTATTTAGATGCCACCAGCAGACCGGACTCCCGCGTCTGGATCTCTCCAGCATCCCCAAGGCCGCCCCCGCTGGCGACGGAAGGGCGAGAAGGCACCTGGACAGCAGCTCTGGCCTGCTAGGTCCCGGACACGGAGAGTTGGATGCAAAGGGTGCTGCATCCCCCGCCTCGGGTCCCACTCGTGCTCCCTCCCTGAGAACACTTCCAGCGGGATGCAGCGGTGGGGCCCGGGCCTGCGCTTCCCACGGCAGAGGGACCAGCGAGCCCCGAGGCGGGGGATGCAGTATCCCCTTCATCCAACATGAAGAGAGAGGTTGGGGAAAAAAGGAAAATAAAAAATAAAATAAGATTAAAAAGAAAAAAAAAAACCACAAACAAACAAACAAAACCCACCAAAACACAAAACGAGAAGGGAAGCGGGGAGACTGCGGCGCTCGGCGCTCCCCGCCCCCACCGCCGGCGCGGCGGCCGCCCCCGCACGGCCCAGCCCAGCCCCGCGCCACCGCCGCCCCGCACCGCCCGCCCGAACCCCACCGCGGGCGCGGCGCCTCGGCACCGGGGCGGCGGGCTGGCAACGGGGACACACGCGCCTGTGGGGCACCAGCGCTCCACGCTGCCCAGTGGCCACCGCTACACCCACCACAGCCCCCCTCCCCGAGCCCTGGCGCCCCGGCGGCCAGAAAACCCTCACCTGGTTGAGGCAGTCCTCGCCGTTGGCTTTCGCCTCCACTTCCACCTCCATCACCACCGCGTCCGGCCTGGTCACATAGCACAGCATGGCTGGGGACAGTCAGAGCCGCCGCTGCCACGGACACCGGAGGAGCGGCCGCTGCCGTCGCTGTCGCTCCGGGCTGAGCCCCGCTCGCGTCCCAGCCGCCGCCCACGCCCGCCAAAGCCCGTCGCGCCCACACCGCCTGCGCTCTGCCAGCGCCGCTCCCTCCTTATGTAGCCTCTGCCCGGCCCGCCCCTCCCCGGCCCGCACCTGCGGGCCAATCGCGAGGCTCTGCTCATGGCTGCGGCCGCCGCCGCCACCAATGAGCGCCGCCGCCCCCGGGAGGGCGGCCGTTGTCCGCGCTCTCTGGCGCCCCCCGCCGTGCCCGCCGAGGCCCGGCCGCTTGGTGGACCCGGCACGGGGGGTCTTCGTCCGCCCCAGCGCCTCCACGTTGCCGTCACCCGCCCTCAGCCGCCACAGCCCGGAGCTTCTCACCTCGGAATCACGTCCGCTTAAATCAAAGCCATGTGCGTTCTTCCAAGCGCGGGTGGAGGCCAAGCCCACTGGGCAGGGACAGCCTGCGAAACTAATGTGAGAGTGAGCATTTGTGGGGGGTGTAAAAAGCAAATGTTGCCTTCACGGAATCAATTGGGTTGGAAAAGATTTGAGATCGTCAAGTCCAGCCTATGATCAAACACCGCCATGTTAACTAGACAGTGGCACTAAATGCCACGTCTGGTCTTTCCTTAAACACCTTCAGGGACTCCATCACCTCTGTGGGCAGCCCATTCCAATGTCTAATCACGCTTTCTGTGAAGAAGTCCTTGCTAATGTCTAACTCAAACCTCTCTGGCGCAGTTTAAGACTATTCCTCTCATCCAGGTTAGTTGCCTGGCAGAAGAGGCCGACCCTCATCTGGTTACAACCTCCTTTGAGACAGGTAGTTGTAAGAGGTGACCCCTGAGCCTTGGCTCATCTCTCGGCTTTGCCAGCACCCCTTTTCGTTGAGGGGAAGATAACATCCAAATAGGTGTTCTCTTTCCCATACTCTCTTTGACCTTCTCCAACTGTGCGTTATGAAGCATGCAAAGCACTGGAAACATGGAAATTTTAAGAAGGACTGGTCAAGCACTACCCCAATCTCCATGTACTGCCATGCCATATCCATTTTGTTCATATGAACTCTGTAACTAGAAGACTGCTCAGTTCTGAACCAGGCAGAACAGCAGGAGACAAGTAAGAGATGCCAAACCTGAGTGGTGCTACATTTTACCCGTACACCTACTAGCTCAGATTTTCATGCCCAGGTCTATAGTGTTAAAATTGAAGAGCTTAGAGTCTTAAAAGACCAGACTCAGGGAGTGGAGGGTAGAAAAAGGAACCAACAAGAAAGAAAAATTAACAACATTGCAAAATTAATTGCATCTTAACTCTGTGATTTTGTGGGGGAAAAAACCCCAAACTCTTTGGGAGGGGCTTAATTATGAGGGGATTAACCACTGATAAAAAAATCACAGAATATTTTAGTATGGAAAAAAGCCTGTATTCCCCACTTCTTTAGTTTCTGTTGATGTGGATGCAGGAAATATTATTTTAGTTCTATTTTAGTTTTACTTATATATATTGCAGTGTTATGGTATTTTGTGTGGTTTTGATATTTCTGTCATAATCAAGAGTCCTAGAGATATTTTGAAAAAGAAACACCAAAACTGCCATGATGACTCATGCCATTAGTATTCTGATATCCTCTCCCTGACAGTAGCTCATATCAGATGTTACAGAGGAAGGTGCAAGAAGTCTTTATATAATTGTGAGATAATGAGCTTGTATATGTTTCTCTAAGACTAAACAGTTAAAACTGGCTTATACCTAATAGATCAGCCTTTACTTATTTATCCATATTACTTGTATCCTAGGAATCAGTTCATCTTAGGCTAGGTGTTGTCCAGACAAACAGAAACCTACCTTTTCTCTACATATTAATATCCATCCAGTGTTTTCCTTTTATCTGACTTAATGTAAATGTAGGTGTTCTTATTATGTCTGTAAAAGTGTTATCCTACTTTGAAATCTTCTAAACCGTAAGCCACAAAAATAGCTTGTGGCAGTAAATTGCGTAGATTGGTTAAGCCCTGTGTAAAACAAGCATTTCTTTTCAAGGGTGTCATCCGGACACTGCTGTCACAGAAATACTTTTCATTTCACAGTCTCTCTGTGATATTTTATTCATGCTGTACAGGAGAGAGTAAAGGACCAAGCCCTGCTTTAGCACACAGGAGACAGCTCCTGCGACAAATGCCTGTTGCAACCCTTTGGGCTCTGTCTGCGAGAAAAAACTGAAGCATCTTACAGTCTCCTGCCTGGTCTCTTTGATGAATTATCAACACTCAGTGAGGTGTACTGTCAAACTGCTCATAGCATGGATGTTCACCTTTTGTGTATCATAAAGGAACAGTGTTTATCCACATGTCATCTCAGTGCTGTATGTCACAAAATGATACGTGCTATATGACATATATCTCTATGATGGGTCAGCCTTTTGCTATAGTGTCAATGCATGAGTAATTCACCTTATACACATTGATGTATTTACATTTCCTTGCCTAACACTTGTTGATCACTTTTCCTTGATGTAATCCCTCTATAAGGTTAATTCTTTGTCACATACTGCTTCAAATAACAAATGTTAGTTTTAGTGCCTCCTTGTCTGAAATTTGAATGGAAATCCTGTGAAAAGTCCAACTGCTAGGAGAAGGGAAATGATTTCCAGACCTCTGAATTTAGACCCCAACATGACATTATTGATCATCATTTCCAAGGAACACTAATGCCTCTCATTGTATAGGTTTTTGTTCACAAGGTTTCCCAACCTCCAACCTGTTGCCATGATACTCCATCTTGTGAGGAATTCAGTAGCGTAGTTGTGGTGTCTTTACCCAGATGTTTATGCAAGATCTTACTCTAAGATTCTCAGTTGTTGCTTGTTGCCCATGGTACTGACTCTGATCAAATTCAGGATACTTTACTGCAACAGAAATCCAGGGTAAAAGGTACAAAATGCTGCATGTGCTCAGGATGAGGCTTCATTAAGTATTTATCTTTTATCTTTACTGTCCATTCGTGGCAGTAACATTAAAGGCATGCATGGAAGTACTGTGTTATCCCAGCTCTTGGTGCCAAAGGTGTGCTCTGCTGACTACGAGGGAGATAATATCCCAGGAAAATGATGAGCTTCTCTAACCCTGCACAGAACAGCAGCTGACACTTCTCTAGGAAAACTAAGCACCAACAGATTTCTCACAGTGCTGATTGTGTGTGGTGTCTCTTGTTCTAGCAAGAATGAATGGCTGAATGAAAAAATATTTTTAATTGTAATGCCAGTTTATATAATAAACAGAAGCAGTAGGAGGATTTAGACTCTGGCTTTTCTGTTTCCCTATTCTTGTGCCTTGTATATGCTTTTCTCCTGTTCTGATTTATTGCTTTCTCATTTTGTTTGGCTTAAATAAGAGATATTAAGTAGTTTAAATATATAGTTTGTTAGGCTATTGAGAGATTGTTTAACTCCACACCCGTGACAGGAGAGCCATGAAAGGCCCATCTTTGTGAGCCCGGAGGAGCACAGTGGGCACAATGACAGGCAGGAACACAAATTAAGGACTAACAGGAAAGGAGACCTTATCTGGTTGCCTCCCCAGGCTGGCCCAGTAGAGGCTCAGCTCCGGTGTCCAGGTGTGAAATCTAGCATGAGATGTGATGGGGAGCAACTCTCCAGGATACTAAGGGGGGATGGTAGCTGGAGATGTGGGACACATCAGGTACTGCAGGGCAAGAGTTTTTGGGGATTGCACAGGATTTATCATGGGATGTTCAGGGGAGGAACCAAAAGCAGGACAAAGGAGGGATTTAAGATATTTGGTGAGTAACAAGTGTGGAACAAGCGAATAAAAGGGTTCACCTGTGTAAAGAGTTGGCTGGTCAGGATGCTTGTCTGGCCATGCCCTACTCCTGACCGCACAGTCTGCTATGTCTCCATGGATGGACCTCCATCCTCCTCAGCTATTGCAGGGAGCAGGATGAGGTTGGTGGTGCTGTCAGTGTTCATGTGAGTGGTCTGTGTGTCTGTTCATGATCTGTATGGCCAGCAATGTATATTTATGTATTTTTGTGCCACATACATGTGCTCTGTGTGTGTGTGTCAACTCGGAATATGTGTTCAGCCTCATTAGTGGCTGGACCCAGGGACATGGAGTGGCAGCAGTCTTGTCTCTCTTGGGCTGCCAACATAGGTATTTTCCACTAACACAAATCTTTAGAGAAAAACACTGGAAAGCACACAGCAAAACGTTGTGTTTTTTGATTTTGTGGGGGGTTTTTTTGTTACATTTTCTGACTGTCTCTTTGTATTCTGTATCAAACTGAGTAACCAAGGACCAGGTCAGCACAAATGCATTTTAGCATGATCCAAAATGAAACTGAGTGGGATCATATGATTGCAGTCAGTCTCTTCTGCTGTCTCTTCCCTGGGTGAAATTGCTTTGTGCATAAACACAACAGTAGTGTCTATCTTCCTTCTTGTCACTGTCAAGGCCTGCTGGTCATGTTGCAAATGCACATCACTCACATGGATGATGATCTTCTGACTGAGAAGCATGGAGAGAAGCATAAAATTGAGGAGCTATTCTGACAGCGATGGTTGCTTAGGGGAAACACCATAATCCATCCATAAACACACAATTTATTTTTTTTTCTACTTAAAAGATTCTTTTAGTGGTCTCACACATAGTATGCCTCTGTCTGAACTTTTTGAAAAATATTCTTTTGCTCCACACTGTTCATGGTGCATAACCAGCTTCTATGGAAAAAAGAGTGTGTCAGTGATTGACATGCTTCCCACAGTGTTGGTTCACCTTTGCCAAAATAATGAACACAGAATAACGTGCTAAGATTGTCCATGCAGCTTACAGGCCAGAAGCTGACTGTTTTATGAAGCATTATCTGGTGGCCATTCCCAACACTTTTGATAAAACTGGTCTGTAACATTTTAAGAACATAAAAACTATCCTGCTAGATCAGACCAAGGATTCACATACCCCTGAATCCTGTTTCTTGGGGATTTCATCCAGTGGTAAACCACGTGCATGACATACAAAAGGTACTTATTGACACCTACATGCTGCA